GCCAGATAGAATGCCAGAAGATATGTCAGAATATATGCCAGAAGATATGCCAGATAGAATGCCAGATAGATATGCCAGAAGATATGCCAGATAGAATGCCAGAAGGTATGCCAGATAGAATGCCAGAATATTTGCCAGATAGAATGCCAGAAGATATGCCAGAAGATATGCCAGATAGAATGCCAGATAGAAGCTAGAAGATATATCAGATAGAATGCCAGAAGATTTGCCAGTAAGAAAATCTATAAGTCATGGTGGGGATCACACAAAGTAAAGTATTTTTTTACGTCGCAAAACATTATAGCCTGCAAACAACGGAGAATGTCTGACAATGTATCATAATCATAATCCAATCAATATTTTAAGATGTCGCTATTATATCTCTTGGGGGATTGCTACAATGTGGTCAACCAAATGCCATCAACTCCCATTGATGGTTAGAACCCCCGTCAGGGTCATGTGCTTTCCTTCCTCCACCCCTGAAAGGGGGTCGGCGGCACCAGGGCGTTAGCCCATTTTTATATATATATATATATATGTATACATATGTTGCAATGATGTTGCAATGATGTATACTGTATATAATAATATGAGAGAGATAGAGAGAGAGAGAGAGATGAGATAGATAGGGAATTTCCTGGTCCATGTCCTTCTTACATAGTGATACTTAACGTAAATCAAATGTACGTACGTATGTATAGATGCATTCTTGGAATTGTTATTCTTTGACAAAATGATAATGTCAAGTGGATATATCACTTTTTTTTACACTTTTCCATCTCTCAATCTGCCAAAACCACAGAGGCGGTGAAGGCCTGTACAATGTCCCAGGAACAAACACTCTAGTCTTGTCTAGTGAAGTCTTTGAAGTCATAGGTATGCTTAGCTTTAGCTGAAGGCCACCGCCATGATTACAATGATAGACATGATAGCCATTTTTGGCCCTAATCTTTGGGTTTGACTGAAAATAGGGTGTTAACCCTCTATGGGTCGAATGATAACCCCTCAAACTGGGATGGTTCAATAGGACCAGTTTCAAGTGGGTGGAACCCCACTGTTGAACCATCCCCCACAGCTAGAAGCTAGTGTTTTGCCATCTAACTATAGATACCCTGTGGTAATGACTAACATAGCTATTGAAAATGGCCATAGAAATAGTAGATTTTCCCATTGCAAATGGTTATGTAAACGTTTACCAGGCCGGGTAATACTATAGATACATCTTCCGTCCTGCTTCTCGGGCAGCGCGGGTTCATTGGAACAGCTGGGCATCTGCCCATGTCCCAAACAGACTGCTGTCTGCCCCGGCAGGCAACCCTCGAAATCGCTACAGCGGCGGCATCCTGGGAAATCATGGGGAAATACTAATAGGATTTTAATAAATCAAGGATTAGAAGTCCTAATCTGAAGATGGATCCAGGATGAATTGTGATTGATGATGATACTGGAATTTGAAATCGATACTGGGAGCATGAAAACCAGGTGATCCTGCCCGGGTCTTCATGGATCATGCCAGGTACGGTGTCTATTTCACTAACATCAGCTACAATTAACACTTGACATATCAACAAGTAACAAGAGAGTGTGTCCCAGTCCCAGAACAATCAACACCCCCAAATTTTCAAACATCTGTAGACTAAGTCTATTTCGCTTCCAACCTGCACCATCAAAGAGCCGATTTGCGCCATCCTCAAACAACTTATGTTCACCCTATCTCTCAAACAAATATCAAAAGGCCCAAAAAAACATTTGCAAAAAAACAACAACAAACAAACAACCAAAAATCTCAACTCCAAAAAATGTTCCACCCACCCAGCATCCTGGCAGGGGCTTGGGGCACAGCTGGGTGCCCTGGTGGACATAGTCCACCAGTCCCACCGCCACGGAGCTGCTCCGCCACTCCAGCGCCACCCGCACCTGCCACAGGCGCCCGAAGGCACCGGTGACGCGCAAGGTCTCCTGCACACCGACCTCGGAGGTCTCCATTGAGGCGATCGGTTGGATGATATGTCTACCCTCTGGTAATTTTAGCTATTGAAAATGGCTATGTATACTGGATTTACCCATTGAAAATGATGATTTTCCATAGTTATGTTAGTTTACCAGAGGGTACATCTTTAGATACATGAAATGAATATCATATCTATTTAGTCGGTTCGTTATTTACTTATGTATTTATTCTATTTCATTTATATATATATATGTGCGTGTGTACGTATATATTATATTTATATATGAATAATGATGATAAGAAATATTAACATTAGGAGAAACTAATAAGAACAACAACAAAAAAAACATCATCATAATAGTCAATAATCATAATAGTAACAATAGTAACGATAGTAAGAATATTAATAATAGTAATTATAGTAATAAAAGTAATAACAGTAATAACAGTAATAATAGTAATACCAGTAATAATAGTAACAATGTAATAATAGTAATACTAGTAATAGTAACAACAATAATATGTATATTGTATATGTATGCATCTATGCATACATACATAATATATATATATATATACATATACCATTTTATACGTATCCGTATATGTGTATAATAGTATAATGTAGATCTATATATATAATGTATATGAGTGTGCCACGGTCAAGTTACATTATACTTTGACTGGCTATGGTCATCCCAGCACGAATGGGATTACTCATAGTTTTAATGGGTATACTAACACCTATATTGGGGATGATATCTTGGGATATAACCAACAAATAAATTCGGATGTTCACCATTGATGATAGTGGGGTCCTAAAATGGTGGACCCCGAAACAATTGGTTTTCCCCCAAATATTCAAAATCGGCAATAAATTAGATGATAACTTGGGGTCCCCGAATTCTGGGAACCAAAAGTCTGCTTGCAGGCTCAAGTCACCGTCAGAAAGGAGCCAGACACATAGGACAGAGGCATCCCATCCAGCAGGTGGCAGAAGTCCGTCTCGTTACTGCAGGAGCTGTTCATCAAACAGCCCTGGCCCACCAGGCAGTTGCCCTCTTCATCCAGTAGCTGCAGGTGCATGCTGTTGCTGGAGGCGGAGGCCAATCGCAGCTCCATGTTGGAATAGCCTGCAGGGATGCGGCCCAGGATGCTGCCGCTGGTTTCCAGCAAGTCCAGCCGGATGCTGCCGTTCCTGTGCCAAAAATGACCCGCTAATAAGGAGGGGTTTGAACATCAAGCAAATAAGGATGCAACTTGACCTCTGCATCTTGGTCTTTATGAGCTGCTCATTTTTATTTGCCATGACTCCTTGCTTTGTTGGGATTGAATAGAGGACAGACAACAAACTGCAGAGGAAAGAGAAGGAGAAGAAAGGGCGATGACAAAGACAACGCAGATTGAAAGGACAAAGTACAGAGAGGAATGAAGAAAGAAGTGATGAACGATGCAGAAGAAAGGAGAAGCACTATATAGTAGAGAAGTAAACGGACGGAACCACTGATGTTCTACCAAGTGGCGTCACGGCTAGTCGTGCGCATACTGGCCAAAAGAGTAAGATTCCTGATGTAAACAAATAGGTTGTTTGTTTCAAATAAAATTGCAGTCTTTGCTCAAATCCACATGTTTTAAGACTCAATCCCGTTCCCTTGCGAAATTTCAACTTGTCCAATCTCAAATCTGTCTAAATCCCCATGGTTCGCCTTAAATCCTCACCTTCCCCAAATCCTCCACGTTTTCCAAAACCACCAAGGCTCCCCGGCGCACAGCTCAGGACCAACGGCTCCGATGGGAACTCGGAGGCCGGGCAGAGCGCGGCGCGCGCCGCGCGAGCCAGGGCCACCTGGGGGCCCGCTGGGGACGGAACAAAAACCCTGGGAATTCATGGTGAAAAATGGAGATATCACCAACTAAACATGAAAAGATCATGGAAATATAAGTTGATCTGCGAAATTTGAGTGTCTTGACCAAGAAAAAATGGGAATACACAGGAGTATTTATGGGATATTCAAGGTGATTTATGGTGATCTATGGTGATTAACGGGGATTCTAGCAACCCAAAAAAAAAAGATAGAAAAGTAATATCCTAATAGTCACACATGACTTTTTGGCATCTTTTTAGGGGAGATATCATATAGTAAAAAAAAATAACCAACAAATTTGGGAGTCTGAAAATCCGGTGCCATTTCCAATGGATCATCATGGATCATCATCATTTTCCCTATTCAAATGGCCATTGGACAGCCATCGTCCTGGGCTTCCCAGCCAAACTCAAGGTCCACCAGGCCATGGAGACCAGCGCCATGGGACACAGCGCGGAAAGTCGATGTCGGCTGAGTTGGGGGTTGCTAAGCATCAACGATGGGGATCTAAATCGTTTACGAAAGCCATCATTTTTGATGGTTTCCCCTATATGAAAACCATGGTCTAGTCTAGAGGGTCTGGTCAGTCTGGTCCGACATGATGTTGCACCATTTCGTGGTGGTGTTCGAGCTGTTTTCAAGATATTGAAAGTGTGAATGTCCACAAACCACCCTGGGTCTTCCGCTTAAAACTTCGCCTAGGATCTATCAGTTCTCCAGCTCAGGCACAGCGTTCCCGTCTTGGGAAGCCGACCGCGGGAAAGGATCCCGCCACAGAGCAAGGCTACTTTGAGCCCCTATTCTTGGGAACCTGAAGGGCATCAAAACCAGGCTGCCGTGAATCACGCGAACATCAGCATCTTCCAACAATCCCGGAGAATCCCGGGTCACATTTTGTGGCTCAAAATAATCTTCTCTCAAAATGGATGCTTTAATATGTTCCAAGAATGATTTTTTGACTGGTTGTATCAAAGACCTCAAATGACTCCTTCTCACTTTGAACAGTGCCATGTGAATATAGGTTTAAAGGAAACTGTGCCTGAAGAATTGGATAAAGTAAAAAAAAATGACCTGTCAATCTGTAGGTCTGTAGGTCCCTTGAGGCCTTAAAAAGCCAAAAAAAATCTGACCACAAAAAAACATGTCAGTTCTTGTTTTTATCAGATTCCCATGACTGTCACTTTTTTATCTCCAGTGGTTGCACCCCAAGTTTGGTGAAATCCCAAGACTTTCACCTGGAATCACCGGTCAGAGTCCCACCCTCTCCTGGCTGCTGTGGCTTCCATGGAATCCACAGCCATGAGCGACAGCTGTGACACCTCACATGGCTGGTCGTCCCATGAAAAAATGGGGGAATCCCTAGTGACTACAGTAGATTGATGACACCAATTAGTGAGATTCACCAAAAAAGTGACTAATAGTGACATACTTCTGGATTATTTTGATGATTTATCCCTAAGGCCTGAATCCGATAAATCACTAATTATGTCACCAATGTCCTGTTATAATTAGAGTAATAGTGACATATAATGACAGCAAATCCCTTTTTGAGTCATACCCCACACTTGGCGTTGACCCAAATTTCCGGTGCCAATTTTTTTTGAGTCAAATCTTGAGACCCAGATCACGAGATCACGGGATCGTCATATGTTTGAGTCATACGGATCAAACAGTTTGACCAGCGAAATGGGAGGCCAGCAACAAATGAACAGTGGTTTATATATATATATATGTAGGTATAGGATGGTATAGGTCTTATCCAGCAATATCGGAAATATGACCATGCAAAGTTATGATGTCATCAAGAATGGGCTTGCACCAGCAACAGCTATGGATGTTTATGACAGAGACCCAGGTGAACATCGGAAATGGACTGATCAATTTGTGTATGAAACCATCCCAAGCGGCAACCCATAACCATTTTACCAGATGACTTCCCTGGCCCGTAGAAATGGGATTCATCCCTCAAACGTTGGGCAATGCCTGTGATCACCACGTGAAGAAAGCCAAAGTTATTCCAAATGTTTCTCGATTAATAACGGTAAAAACTGCCCAACAGCACCATTTGTTGCAGCAAAAACACCCAGCGAAAAAGAATGTTGCGGATCTTTTCTATGTGATCGCCATACATGACATGTGCCATACCTGAAATATATCAACCCATATTATACATGTGGTATAAATTGCTATGAATGGATTGATGGCAATCCCCCAATTTCAGTATACAACCCAACTTTTCGCTATCATTGGTCATTGATATATCCCGAACAAATAATATATAGACATAGAAATAGACATAGATATAGATATAGATATAGATATATCCCTAAGGAATATCCCATGAAATAATAATGGATGTCACTGGATGTTCATGCTTTAAATCACCAAACGTTAACCCGCCATCACCATCGCTGCCTGTGCTTTGCCCTTCCAGTATCCTTTCTGCACAGGACCTCCAGCTATCTGTAGGCCGCCTGCCACGGTACGACAGCCAGATTTTGGGAAAGGGTCAAAAACCAGCAGAAAATGATGAGAAATCAGTAGGTCAAAAGATTGTGTGTGTGTATATGTATATGTATTATATGTATTGTATGTATTATATGTATTGTATGTATTATATGTATTGTATGTATTGTATGTATGTGTATTGTATGTATGTGTATTATATGTATGTGTATTGTATGTATGTGTATTATATGTATGTGTATTGTATGTATGTGTATTATATGTATGTGTATTGTATGTATGTGTATGATATGTATATGTAATATACGTATATGTATTAATGTATATGTATATGTATATGTGTATATATGTATATATATATATATATGTACAGTATATGTGTGTGTATATATGTGTACATATATATATATATATACATATATATATATATATGTGTGTGTATGTATATATATATATATTAATATATATGTGTATATATATGTATGTATATATGTGTATGTATGTGTGAATGGAGATCCAGCAAGATCTAAGAAAAAAGAGAGAAGGGCATCAATGAATGAGAGTTGAAGGGATGGTCACATGTGGCCAACTGATTATCGGTAGGGGCGGTAGGGGGATACTGTAGAGACTGTAGAGGAGAATAGAGGTATTTTGAAACCTTCAGGGGCAAACTAGGGCCACATTTGAAAGTGTCAGTGTCCTTAGGTTATCTTCACTCCTGGTAGGAAATCCTGTCTGCCGCCTGGGAGCTACAAGAAATGTGTTACCCTGCCGCTTCTTTCAGCAATGGTGGAAGCAACGCCCAATTTAAAAAAGAAAACTGTGCATATCAATTTGCGAACGTGGACAACAACAAAACAATGCAACAGTGAGGAAATCCATGTCTACTATATGAGGAGCAACCTGTTGCAAATTTGTGCGCAAGTCTTATGAAACGTGTATCATTGTTTATCGATACCTCTCATGCATGATGCTATCTTTGGCATTTTTTCCAAGGCACAACTCAGTAAAAGGCCACCCTTTTCCTCCAGTCCTGGCAGCAGATTTGTAGGGCTAAACTTATCATCCACATGTCTGAAGTATTCTTAGTAGATTCCCCATAAGGTGGATGAATTCTGATTGCCGATGAACGACTTGACAACAGGCTCTGTTTTCAGACTGGTACTGAATGGGAGCTCACCCAGCAATGAACAATGGCTTCCAGGGGGTGACGCAAACATACGTAGTTGCACATGTTCTGTTTTTGTGCAGGGAAAACATACACAATCATAGCTATCTTAGCCAAATCTGCTCCCATACCCAACTGCTGCAAAAATTCAAAAGCTATGGCAGCTATGGCAGCTATGAGTTATGGATATGAATCCCCGCCTTTAACGTATGAAAAACATCCCTCCCCTAATCCCTGGGTCCTTGTTCCAAATCCCGCTGCTTGTCTTCTTCAACCTATCCCTAAGATCCCCTGAGCCTCCCAGCTCCCATCTAAAAGAAATACAAAACGAGTGATCCCACCAGCCTGACACACTATTCTGACAGTCTGTTTTTGACATATTATCTGGAAGTATATATGGCGCATATATAATACATATTTATATATATACATAATTATATAATTATATAATATATATATATACATTCTGACATTCTATCTGTCATCTGACGTTGTTTTTGGCAAATACTATGACATTCTGAATTCTATCTGACATTCTTTCTGGCAGGTGTTCGGGCCCAGGCGTGCCAGCTGCATCTGTCGCTTGCGATATCAGCATGGCTCGGGTCCATTGGTGCCACAGTCACGACGAGCTGGCAGAGGAGTAGACGAGTAGAACGAGGAGAAGAAGGAGGAGTTGCACCTTCGTTAAAATCTAGAGACCCTCACCTGGCAGGTGGGGAACAATTCGCTCCACTCCAACCTCTCTAACCCCCATCTTCCCCTTCCATTCTCAGAAGCTCCTTCTCCAAAGGTTGGCACGTAGAACATGATCTGCTGCCAGCGACCCCGCAGCACCATCTTTTTGGCTCCGCCCTGCGAATTTCCAGAGGATGGGCTCGACGACGAGGCGGAACTGGCCATCTGGCGGCCCTGCGCTCCCGCCACGGCGCTCTTCATAAGCACCAGGGACACCAACAGGGAGCCTTGGGTGGGGACATGGAAATGCAGAATATCAACCAACAAAAATGGAAAGTTCCGAAGTTTCACCCAGGAAATATCAAGAAATGCGAAATTAGCAACTTAAATATCGCCAGCTCGTTATTAAGCCTGCTTTCAAACTGGGGTTTCACCAGCAACAAATGGGAATAGAACCAAGCAAACATGGTCAGAAGCAGTGGACACGCCCAGGGTGGTTAAGTTCACCTTCATCTAGCACTTGCTAAAGTTCACAACAAAAAAACGGGCTCCACTCTGAAGCTTGGGCCTAGTGACTGCAGAGATTCCAGTGTGCCAAGATCTGCAAATGTCCCAACAGCACCGAAGCTTCTCGGGCATGCCCTGCACCGCTGCCCAAGCGGAGTTTGGCGCACTGTTGACTTTCCTCCCCGAAGAATCTCACGAGGGTCACCTCTTGTTTGTAGTCCGAGAGCAACACATGCCTCAGTGGGCCCAGTGGCCCATGACATTCAATTTGTTCAAGCCATCTATCTAAAAAAGCTGCTATTCAAGGGAGTCTACGAAATTTGTTTGTCCCATCAGACTGCCACAAGAAAGACTCCCTCCGATCCTGCTTGAGTTTGGAATCTCTTTAAGGACAATTCCGGCAAAGGATTCGAGATCATTACTAAGGGTTTCATTAGATTCCCTGGGCCAACCACTATTCAAATCACCACTGGAGCTCTCAGAACACTGGCGAAATCCTGTCTTGGAAAACAACTCGTGGAATTGAACCAACTCGAGGACAAGAATTGTGCGACACTTGCCCCCAAAAGCAGTTGGATGTGGTAGGGTTCTGATACAGTAGATGGTGTTTTTTCCCCACAACATCTCAATGGTTCAAGAGGTTTTATGATTGCCTAGCTGGCCTAGCTTTCCCACCAGCAGGATGCATCAGATGCATCAAACTATGGCAACCCCAAAAAAGATGGAAAAGGAAAAGCTGACCAAAAGAGTGGTGAATTACTTCGCTATCTTTGGGGAGTCTACTTTCTATCATCAAAAAACATGGACCAAGCTGCTGTAAGCTGTACAACAAGAGTTCCACCTTTTCTTCACTCACCATGTGAATTTCCTGCACTCCAATGTCCAATCTCGCCAGGACCTTCAAAGACGCCTCGCGGCATTGCTCCAATTTTCTTGGCATGGGGAGTTCTGGCATATTCTTGGGATGCTTTTTGTGATGATGAGTGGTGAATGGTCTTCATCCCCCAATGCCCCAATCTCACTCAAATCCCTCCCACATTGCAAAAACAACATCTCTTCAGACTCTCTCATCCATCAATATCGGTGCTTACAGACTTAAAACATACTAAGCCACCTAAATGATCTATCTCGTTCCAATCCCAAACCAAACCCCTGCCCCCCAAGCAAACCATTCAATAGCACGAAGTAACCTCCCCATTCCCCCCATCCCCCATCCCCTGCCCACTTGGAAGTTAAGTTCCAGTGAACCAAGGGGGTGCATTTCACCATCATAGTTTTTTTCGGGGCCCCATATCCCTGAAAATCACAATGTGGACCATGGTTATAGAATGTTATAGATTCTGTAGATGTAAAAGATCCATGCCAAAGTCACCTCAACTGCACCCATCAAACCCCACCCCCTTCCCCCCTTCCCCTTCCCACCTCTCTCTTGGCACTGGCATGCAGCAGTCGCAGCGACACCCCCGCGGCCACCACGTCCAGCGTCGTCCGCCGCGGCGCCTCCGGCGGCTCCTCCTCGGCCGCTCGGCCGCTGGCGCTGCCCAGCGAGCCCAACAGCAGCGAGAGCAGCACGGCGTCGCTGCTGCTCACGTGGAAAATGAGCTCCGAGAGGTTGAATGACAAGTGAAGTTCCTGGAAACTTTGGATGATTGATGGTTGATTCATTATGATTGTTGTGATTGATTATGATTCACGGCTGATTCATTGTTGATTGATCTCAGTAAGAAAATGAACGGTTGTTGGAAAATGTCTGGTGACATCTTACCATTTTGTTGTTGATATTTTGAGGGAGTTCAGGAAAGTTGCGGTGATTGCTGGGGTGATACAGTGATACCCATGTTGGGTGGTGAAGACAGACTCACGTGGAAATGCGGGTTCGCAATTGTCATTCCACAAACCTTATCCCCACACCCATCCCCGCCATCCAATATGTGGTGATCGAGTCTATCATATTTTGCGATCACCCATAAAACCACATGTGGGTATGGCTCAGAAAACGGCTATGGAATCTTTCCGCGGTGATCCGACGTATGGAACGAATGAGTTACATAAGGGTTTGATCCCGACCTACTGAGAAGGTAGAATAAAGAGGCCTGGTGTATGCATAAGTACATCTTGTCATATTTGAGTATGGATCAAGGGTATGGACCGTATTCATCAGAGTCTTGGAGGTGTATGGATCATGGGGATGGATCGGGGCTATCGCCTGCGGTTCCAGGGTATGGATCGGGGCCTTACATATTGAGCGACCATCTTAGAACATCTTGGACCATCTTAGATCAAATTAGATCAAGATAGACTTGAAGTGGGTCCCATCCCCATGCCCATCCCCGCTCATCCCGCACACCCCATTCCCCCAATCACTATCACCCCCGCTGTCCAGCCCCCCATCCCCAGCTCCTTCTCCTGCGAAATGCGCCCCGACACCTTGTCGCACGACAGCAGCAGCGGCCGGCCCCGGTGCTGCGTCAGATCCACGTCGGCGAAGCTGGTCTTGAGCAGGTGCCGCGCGGGGTCCTCAAGGCACCAGGATCACCAGGATCCATGGCTGGAAAGGGAAAAAAAACCTTAGGAAAAGGTGGAAATTTCAGAAGATTAAATGGATGTTAAGCAACAATTTCAGCAACACATACGGGGATTCTACCAAGAGAAAGCTCCAACGACACATAACCTCCAACAAATGGCTATATATGCCACCGCAAATTTACGCTGGTCATTTTTTAGGGCCTTACATCCAAAAAGTCGTTGTCACCCGCGACATCCACGCCTCTTTTGCCAAACTGGCAATCACTTGCATCCATTTACATCCCAGGTCTTGCTACAAAGACAGCCACGGTCTGTTTGGAAAGGAAACTCAAATGTATCCTTTAAAGAAAAGTGAATAGCGACAACAAGCTTTTGGAAACTGAACATTAGCTAAATGATTGCTAAATGATCCACATACATTCCCAAAATCTGCCCAGTATGGATAAGCCAGGCACTTCCGGCAGCAGCCAGGCAGAAATTTGCCGCGCGCAAAAGCGCTGGGAAGACACGGCGTGGCTCTCGGCGTGCGTCCTGTGGCCAGTAGCCCCATGGCCCCCATGGGATGAAAAACTCCCACGGTATATCTTTGGTATATCATTCCATAGGGCTACTGAGTATATGGATAATGTCAACCCCGGATTAATAAACCATGGGTTTATGACAATTAGGGGGGTACTCCTCCAATAGTCATAATCTAATACTTAAATGGTACCTTCCCAATTAAACAGCCTAGGGGGTTATTAATCCAGGGTTGACATTATGTTATATAATAGCCATAATCACATATAATCACAAGCCATGTTTGCATTTGGTATATCTTTGGGGGTCACTGAGTCATTTGTTCTCCTTAACTGGTGCCCTGACTGGACCAAAAGGTCACCCCTGTCACGCCTCATGCCGTTGGAAGATGACACCTCCTCCTCTTTCAGCGGATTCTCGGTGGGCTCGCATTGCAAGCGCAATTGCATCACTAAGAGGCCTGAAAATCGCCAGTCAGCGGGAGCCCAATCCCACTGGAAGTCCTATGAGTCTCATCTTTCGAGCTGGAGGATCATCCCACTTACAGTAACTGATTAGTCGTCGTAGATATAAGAATATATAAGATGTGCACTAAAATCCATTATGCAGGATGATTCCACTTGCAAAATTTGCAAACACAGGCTTCTTACCCTCTGGTAATTTAACATAGCTATTGAAAATGGCCATTTATAGTGGATTTTCCCATTAAAAATTGTGATTTTCCATAGTTATGTAAACGTTTACCAGAGGGTAACCTCTTCCGATCCATGGGATGATCCCCGGCTCCTTCCAAGGTGGCGCCGAGCACGCGGTCCTATGCAGGAAGGCCATGAGAACCGGAAAATCCAGGGGTGGAACAATCAACCAGAAAATTTACAATTTGAAACCAGCCATTTGAAACTAGCAACATCAAATGGCTATGGCTGATTTTTTCAGATGGAAAAAAAAATCTGGAGATCCTGGATATCCATAAAAATTGGATCCCAAAAAATGGCAAAAACTGCTTGGTCCAAAATGGATCAATGGGTGATCCCGGATCCCCAGCGGCCCAGCGGCCCAGCGGTCCTCGGCTCCATCGATGGTCCTGGCGCAGGGCACCAGCACGGTCAAGGGTGCCTGAGAAGACAACGCGACGGCGGATGGGGCGTCGTTGATTCCAAGCGGAAATGGATGGTTTATCATGGAAAATCCTAGCAAAATTGATGATTTGGGGGTGCCCCATATGTTGGGAAACCTCCATGTGAGAAATAGATAGAAATAGATAGAACTGGATGTTCTTCACCTGCAGTGTGATCTGCGAATTCTTTCGTTAAAGGTCTGGTGCTGTAGTCGGATCGATCCCGAATTCGACAAAGAGATCCGATCAGATGCATTCTGCTCCACTGTACCATACTGTACCATACTGTACCATACTGTACCATACTGTACCATACTGTACCATACTGTACCATACTGTACCATACTGTACCTCATCACCCACATGAATCTCAACCACTATCAACCAATATGGCAGTGGGTCAAAACCAATAGTACCCCTTTTTTGTTCACATCAAAATAGCTGGGATTTATGGATGTTCATCCCACTAAAAATTGTATTTTCATAGGTATTGATCCATAGCCATATATGAATCATCTTCCCCAGGGCCGCCGGGGTCCAAGGGACGCTCACAGCGCTCATGCGCAGATCCGTGCTGCAGCTGCTGGGGCTGGTGAGCTCAGGGCTGGTGCGGCGGATGGCAGCCAGGATCCTCGGTGGCGGTGCCTTCAACTTACCCTCTGGTAATGACTAACATAGCTATTGGAAATGGCCATTTATAGTGGATTTTCCCATTAAAAATTGTGATTTTCCATAGCTATGTTAGTTTACCAGAGGGTAAAAGATATGGAGAAATCATGATCAATTCATGAAACATGTACTTTAAGCAAGCGAAAAATGTGGACTTTGGATGAGTTCGGTCAATCCAATTGCGATTGTGGAGATTCAGAGTTTCACAGTTCGCAACTCCAGGGATTCTCACCGAGTAAACCGAGGACCAAAGGATGCAGCAAGGTGAACGGTGAACGGCAAAAATCCAGCTGGATTTCACCAGAAACTGCGAGAAAGTGTCATCTATAGAATGGTGGTGTCCCCTCATAGCTGGAAAGTCATGACTGATCACTGGAGGGTAGAACCAGCCTTCCAGGATGATATTTTATTCGAACTGGGATGTTTGGGCTAGACTGGCTAGACTGCAATATACCCCCGTATTACTCTAGCTAGTAGCTAGTACAGCTAGCAGTAGCTAGCGATTTCACTCCAGGGATTCTCCCAGCTCTGCCCAGTGGAACCGGCTCTGGTTGGTTGAGCCAAAAGGTCCATGGCTGCCATGGCCATCTGTGGGTCCCACGATGTCCCATCCAACAGGGCCTTGGGCTCCCTGCTCTACCAAAGCCGAGTTATCCACCTGGATTCAAGCGGAATCTGGATCCTTGACAGTCAATCCCTTCAAACCTGACTTTTTTTTTATGTTGGGCCCATTATGCCAAATTTAAGGCTATTTTGGCTATCAAATTTTGATGTTAAACAATGTTAAACATCTATCTTACCCCACTTCCAGATAGAAAGAAGCGGTTTGGTCCAATCGCCTCAAAAAAATACGTCTGAGCGTGGCATCTGCAGGCTCAAAAATCACAGGCATCCTATGTCCGAGGGCACCTCCTCCTCCCAACCTTCTTCCAAGCTCACGGGCCTCGATTGGGAACTGCACACGGATGGCACCCTCTGTTAAAAATTAGGAAAAATCAATCCAAGTTTCTGGGTGAAGTGCTTTGAGACATACATATTGTATAATATACAGTACATTATATATATATATATACTGTGTATATATATATATATATCCGTATATTGTATCATACGTGGATGTTTCCTGATGCCCTCTATTGCCCCACTCCCCTAAGCCAGGCGCATGTACATCAGGGAGCTACGCCGAGGCCTGTGTGGCTCCGAGTCCTGACGCAGCAGGATCTCCTCCTGCGTTGCGGCCGTTGGAGATTCGATGGGCGAAACCATGGTGAAACCATTCTATTTCGAAAGCTTTGCCTTGAAGCTGCGCACTCCGAGGTTTCAGACATGTTTCGTGTCATAGAAGATGACTTGTGGTGGGTAAATGGGTTTATGACCACGCTGGCGGATGGCGTTGTGGATTTCTCAGTGGATATTTCAATATTTCTACAGCTGGATGATTTTTTGCAATCCAACTTGCAACTGAGGGGTCCACATGGTAGAGGAAGATCATGATGGAGATATCGCCAGCATAACCATAGAACTATTGAATGTGATAGAGAAGCTCAGGTTATTTTTTTGCCAGCAACAAAATGCTTCAAATATCTTTTTACTGTGATTCGCAGAACGCTTAGCCGCTTGTCAATGGACCCATTTTTATTTTTTTTGGCATCCAAATCATCCAACAGGAATTTTCCACTCTGATGTTCTATGCCGTATTCTGAGTAGATCTTCCATGGCTTTTCGATGAAAATCCCCAGTCCCTGGGCCCAAAGAAGGCCCGACAAAACCGGCCGAAACGTCTTCGGATCCTCCTCAGAGGTCACCTCCAATAGCTCCTCCTGCAGCTGTCCGACCAGTTCCAGGACATCCAGGAGCAGCGGGTAGGAGATGCAGGCCTGGAGGAGGCCTGTGCCGCTGGGATGGGAAATGTTGGGATCTTGGATAGATAATGATGATATTTATATATATATATATTAGATTAGATGATATTAGAAGTAAGAATATACTAGATATCATTAGATGATATGATTGTATTTATTATATAGTATGAGCTAGTAATTGTTAGCATGTTTTTCACCAGGGTATGAAACTGTGACCCTTCTATCTTTTTGGGGCTGGGTATCTTTTTGTTCTGACCCCCAACTCAAAGTCGTCATGTGGCTATGGGTCATTTCACCCTGGTACCCTGTGTGAACAGAACAGAACAGGTGGATTTATGGATGTTCATTCCCCCAACATATGGTAATATTATGTAATATTAATGTAACATGTAGGTTCTGACGCATCCTCATGTCAGTTGGGGGAATGGTATCGATATGGTTATTGAGTACGACAGTATTACTGCTGTGATGATTATGATGAGTGCCACTGTCATTCTTGTGCTGATGATGAGGAGAAGTAGGATTCATCAAATTCATCAAATGGAAAAAAACAAAAACGAACTCAGGAAGCAAGCTTTACTTTGTCTCATCAAGAAATCCGCGCCTCCAACGTCCAGGTACCACCTGGGCGACCGAATCTCAGCAAGCTCGGCATCATCCGGCTCAGTCAAGTCCTTGGAAAGAGATCACCATGACACGCCATGACTCACATGTGCAACCATGAATCATTTTGAGCCAACCACCTAGCACTACCCACAATCCAAATTCAAGTGAAACTTCCCGCAAATCTCCTAGACTCCTGGACCTTCTGCTCAATCTCCACTTGCCCCCATATCCTCCAATCCCAAACTACCTCAAGTTATCTCAAGTTTTACCCATCATGTTCTCATATCCCATATTTACCAAGTCTCCATCGTCATAGTGGTCAGCCCCACCACCCGCAACAAGGGCGGCTTGCTGAAGCCTCCGAGCCCCAACCGGTTCCAGGCGCCCACGGAGTTGCTGCCCAGGCTGCTGGAGGCGCCCTCAGAGGCGCTGCTGCGCTGCGACAGCGTCGAGTCGCGCTGCTCGCGCGACTCCCGCGACACCGCGATGCTGGAGATGGCGCGGCGCCGCAGCTCCACGTCGGAGAGGAGAAGGCGGAGGGACAAAGGCTTCCTCTGGCTTCATAGGTTTTGGATGGTTTGGGATGGTTTTGGCACGCTGGAGGTTGGGGGAAGAGTTTTTGGGAATTTTGGATCATGAACGATTGATGACGTGATGTATCGTGATGTAATCATTTGAGATGGGATCAGATTTTAGCGGTTGGTGCACGTCTGTCACTATTTTCCTTGGCTTCTCGGGTAGGGCTTCCTTTTCCTGGGTAAACTGATGAGTCGTTACTCCAACCCCTTGCCAAGGTGCAAATCCAGAGCATCATGGACACCCAAGTCCACCACAATACCTGAGAGTCGAGGTTGTGCTTTCGGAGTGACAACAGGTGAGTTTCCATGGCATTTGCAAAGGAAACATGATGATCATCATGGGAGGATCCGATGATGCAAACATGTGGCGGGTGTATCTCTCAGTCCCAGCGGTTTCCCCGTCGATCTTCCCAGGGCACTGGAGTTCACAGAGATGGGTAACACCGCCAGGGAAGAGGAGTCGCTCAGCAGCTCCACTTCGCCTTCAAAAAAACATGGCTGTGTCAATGGGGAATACCCTCTGGTAATGACTAACATAGCTATTGAAAATGGCCATTTATAGTGGATTTTCCCATTAAAAATGGTGATTTTCCATAGTTATGTTAGTTTACCAGAGGGTACCCCAATTTTAAGAAGCCATTGAAAGAGTTAGGGAACTTTGATTCACCTGAAATCTTGGGGTCCACTGTCAAACAAAGCCTGGTGATGCAACTGGGCGGTGACACCCAACGTCCAGGATTTTTGGCTACGGGGAACATGGGATGATTCACAATCCAAAAGGCGAAGCCGTTTGTGTCCCAGGGGGACCTTTTGACTATCCAGAAATGGGTATCCAGAAATGGGTATCCAGAAATGGGTAAGAACTTCGGTAAGAACTGCAAACTGCAGGATGCTTCAGGATGGTTTCACCTACGATCATGTGCTATCAATTTTGGGGGTACCTTGGTTTTGGACAAACCCAACTGATCTGCAAGGGACACGGTTGATTTAATTAAGCACAAACAAGATGTCTCCAATAAAACCAACATATCAAGTATTGGTTGATAGGGGACGTTCTAGAATTGTTTGTAAAAACAAGAATCTCCTGATTGCACACATGCTCGGCACTCTACCACCCTAAAAATGAAAAAAAAATAGACTATTCAGAGTCCACAGAGGCCATACCATCCGCTCTGCTCAAGAATCTCCAACAAGAGTGATCTGCGTTGGTTTCTAATTTTTAACTACAGTACACCACAACTAGGATTTAGGATATATCAATATATCATTATCAATAATTCAATAGTAAGATGGGCCATATAGGTTTAAAGCCAACTTTTGTACCAACCCTGGTTTTTAGTCGACTGGGCTCAGGGACTGCAGGTGAGGTTCACCATGAGAGTGAAAGTGTGACGCGCCTGCAGCGCATCGATGAAGGACTGCGGAGTTGGCCATGTTTAGTTTTGCCGTACCCATCCAATATTTTAGGGTACCAAGTTTTGACCAAAAAACAGCAAGTGGGAGGTACCATTTAAGATTTCAGCAAATGTTCATTGGAGCCTTGTTTTTCTTTGGTTTCGAGTTTCATCTCCCAGCCGTCCCCCACCTACCCCCACCCCCACCGTCGGGTCGGTCAGCAGCATGTCGTAGGAGGTGCGGGTCTCGGAACACATACACCGTTGAGATGCGATCACCAGGCCACCTCGGGGGGCCACCATGACATGGCTTTGACCATGACAGGCATGACAGGCCCCGGTTTCTACGTCTGAGACGCTTCAGATAGGAGAAAAACAATGTGTTTCATAGATGTCCTTTTCCCATTGGTTGGTTGATTAATAGAGGGGTTTGAAGAAACCCCTTTAACAACAGGTAAATGATGATAGATGGTATACCAAACCAGCCCCTCTATTTTTACCAAAAGGACATTATTGATGTGTTTTGCAAGTTGCTTGGGTTGTACTTCAATCGGAAAAGCTGGAAGTTCAGTTCCAGCTTTGGGACCCAAATCAGAGTCCTGGATCAGGGCCTGTCATCTTGGGGCCTGATGCTATAGTAAGATCCATTGCACTGAATCCAAGGTTGTATGAAATTCTTTGGTCAATCACAGGTTTCGCGCATTTTTATGATGCAAGACAGATCGAAGATTGGGCTGTTTCATACTAACCAATGATTCCCTCATCTTTGCGAAAAACAAGCCTTGGGGGATTTAAGTCTTGTCGCTTTTCCCTTAGGCCCAGGTGAAACAGCCGCCAAAGCCACGGTTCTCCTCATCCACCTCGGGCTGCGAACGCTTTTTAGACGCTGTGGGACCCATAGGTTATAGGGAAACAAACCTGGCAATGTCATCAGGTTGCGCATAGATGTTTGATGTCCATTCTGTTTTGCTGTTGGAACCCTTCAAACTTGCCGGGTTCGAATAAACTCAAGACAAGACTCACAAAATGAGGCAACAACCTCTTGAGTAAAAAAGAAGCCTGTGATGCACCCTGTTTGCCATCATTTAGAGTACCTAGTGGTTTCACAATGGAGGGTTGCCCTCTATTCCTTCGACAGACCAGCAGGAAAAGGATATCTATTTTACGTATACAATGTTATATATACAGTATATATTACAGTACATAACATTCTATGACCATCATACGTAATGTGGCGAACCCAATCACAAATCTCCAACTAGCAATAGTTTATACCACCAATTTCTGGCAAAATTTTGGGTGTACTCATGGTCCCACCTCTGGTGTCGCGACGTTGAACCCAGCGACACCACTGGGCTTCAGCAATGCCAAGCGCCTCTCCCGCAGGGTCTGCCGCAGGGGTTGGTTCTCTTCGATGCTGGCCTCGGAGATTCAGGACAGGTTCACGGATGCTTAAAACTCAGGAAAAAATCACCACTGACTTCTGGATTACATATGGATTACATATGGATATATATAATATAATATATATATATACATATGGATTACATATGGACCGGATCAATTCTGGATGTTCACTATGATGGTTGACGTTGCTCAGGTTCTGGGTCGTCTCATTCATCCTAGGCACCACATAGGGGTCCTGCGAGAGGACCTCGACCTGGCCAGGGAAAACTCGGAAACCAATAGGGGATTGTTGAACAAACATAGGCTACAGCAACCCCAAGATCGAAATCAGCAAAATCCCACTCAAACAGGGGGTAAACGACTTTTCGGCATTCCTGCGGGGACCGTCTTTCACTGAAAATCTCACACGGAATCACAATCGGGACTCCATCATAATCATCATAAATATTCAAATTCAAGCATGTTCTGATATTTTCTGGGTATCCGCCTATCTTTGAAACAATTTTTGACCGGGCAAAGCCTTTTTTTGCCATGTCCATCCCTGCTTCACCTGGCCCATCTCGGGGTTAGCTTGGACCTCGATTGATGTTGGATCAAGGCTGGTGACAACTTGTCAATCTTGGGAATCTAATGGGATCTAATGGGATCTATAGGGTATGCTAAAAGATTTTGTGGAAAACCCATGGGTTTTCCCAGACAATTCTTTACACTTCTGGTGGGCCTTCTACATCTATGCCAGTTTACAGGATGGGAACGTCTGACAAATCCAAGCTGACAATCGAAACTCACCCATTTGTAGATGAACAAATGGAACAAGACAAAAGAGAAGGAAATTTCTGCTGCCAAGGTAGATTGCTGAAGGGTCATACTGTGTGTAAACCATTCCTTTCCAAACCTTCCGATTCAACTCCCAAAATCTGATCTCCCCAAAAGAAATCTCCAAGTTGAAGCATCTATCCATGCATATTCTCCAAGTGCATAGAAAACCAGTTCTCCAACCCTTTCTTTGATGACCACAACTGCATCCCATCCCTTGGGCTTCAAGCAGAGGAAGCATCTAACATCCGCGCCAGCCGAAGAAGCCATTTCCGCTGGTACCGAGAACCAGCCCCTCACTGATGGAGAGTCGGGGACGGATCGAACATCGGGGCCCACCAACGAAACTGCGCTATCTTTAGTCTTCATGTTAAGCAATAACCATCCCCTGTTTTAGCATCAATCGGTGGTATTATAAACATGTATAAACCTTGAAAATATGGGCGGTTGATTCTTGCTTTACCAATATTCAAGCATTTGTTGGGTAATTTTGGCCCATACCCATGGAACTTCGCAAGCTTGAATTGCAATGTGGACGTATCATCCACTTTTTAGAAACCATCTAGCTTTGCCTCAAGATAGGGATCATACACCGTGGATCATGCCCATGTTTGCACGTGGAAAATGCTGCCACACATTCCATAAACCCATGGAACTTTCGGAATTCCAAATCTTCAACTGCAGGAGTTTCCGTTTTTTGCGGAAAATGGATGATCAAGCTTCATCAAGCCCGCCTGTGCTGGAGCTGGAACTGCTCTGCGGAATCACATGGGAACCTTCCTCCGCCTGGCCCTCCTCGCCCTGCTCTGGCTGGCAGAGACTTACCGCCAGCGCCTGGCGTTGGAGCACAAAGATATGGGAAGCTCCAAACTCACAGGGTTTAAACCAAAATATTCCAATAAATTTGGTCCATTCATATTGCATGACCTAGGATGTACATGCACTAAATGTCTTTGCTATTTGGGTAATTATTGCTGTGCCCACTTCTTGACCCATCGGAAAAGGGCCTCTCGGAAGGCAAACCACCTCCCCCAACCTTGGCTGATTAGGGGCCGTCATCTAATGTGTCAAACCTCAATTAGGGATGGTTGCGACCCATGTTCAACCCGCATTTTTCCAAACATGTTTTCAATCATAAGGTATCATGACATTGTCGAGGCACCCATCAGGCTTCCCAGATGTTGTTCTACAAAGTTTCACTGGACAACTAGCTCTAAAATGAATCGAATCATGTTTGTTGGGGGCCAAGTGTCAACCCATGTTCGGTTGCCATGTTCCAGATGTCAGGATATCTCGGGGTATATCAATGTACATTGCGGTATCATGACTCCGTACCAGTATCATCCAGCATGACATCCAGGTCAGGTCTATCAGGTCGGAGCCTATCCCGGTCGCTTGGGACCCATGGGACCCCATGGGATCCATGGGATCCTCGCCCCCCCAAGAAACTGAGGCCGTGGGAGGTGAAGAAGGCCACTTGCGACAGACTGGCGCGCACCGGGCATGACCTGGGGCCACGGCGCCACGGCGGCTGTGATCCAAGAGATGGTGGGCTTTCCCTAAGAAATGTGGCTATTCATTGTCTGAATCCTCAAAATTCTTGATCATCCCATGGGAAAAACCATTGATTTTTGGGGGACCCATATTTTAAGAAACCTTCATATGATTTAGAATATGATGTAGAATCTGATGTGTTAAAGCTCGCTGTATCTGATCGTTTTTCACTGGCATTGACTGCTCAAATCACACGACTTGCGAATTCTCCGAGTTTGGGGCACCCAAAAAGCTGCCAGGTGCTGCCCGAAATGGATCTCAACCCACTGCAATGCTGAAATTGATTGAGGTTTATTGTTGGGACCTCATGATTGATTTGCATCTTTACCAACAAATGACCCCACACATCACCCCAGGCTATCGCTTCAGTCTCCCCACGTGGAGCACACGGCCAGGCTCACTCTGGGCAGCTCATCCATCTCCTACGCAAGATGGGTTTGTCCCGAAAAAAAAACGGAAATCCTCGGGAAAATGAGGTTCCGAACCAGAGGATGGAATGGGGTATCCAGGTATCCCTATTTTCGAAGTATCCCAAAAATGTTTGCCCAAAAAAAAAAATCTCCCCCTGGGGAGGAGAATCACCACCTATTTCAACCATCAAAAAGCCCATGTTCCCAGATCCCAAAGAAAAAAGCATGTTGTAATATCCCACAAAGCCCAAGACATACCCTAAAATGTTCCATTAAACTTAACAAAACTATGCAAACCTTCCGGTTGCCTAAGTCTTCCTTTCGCACTTGGAACCTCCGCTCGGTCGAACCTCAAAGGCTTGAGTCATGCTTCGCTTTGGCCATTTGGGCAGCTCCACGTGTGATTTCACCTATACAACAACGGGCCACTCCCAGGGCAGGGGGTCAAACTCGGGGTTCCCTTTTCCGAAAAGTTAAAATGGACTAGATTTGATGGTTTGACCCCTCAGGAAAACTTGTCATATATGAGCAGGGATCACCACACACACCCCAGCCAGATTGTTTCTTCCTTCCCCCTGTGGAGGGTGGGTTCCCAACAACAACAGTCCTACATGGGCAGCTGAAAGTGTTTGATGTCCAGTCAGTTTGTAGGGAGTACATGGAGAGTATTTAGGGAGTTTACAGGGAGTATATATGGATATAGTATATAGTATATGGGCACGCTATGCAATGAGTACCAATGAGTCGTATATAGGTACGCTCTGACCCATTCTTGCCAATTCCCTAAAGATCAAAAAAAGCTATCGAGACAAGCAGGTGAACCGCTTCTAGCATGTTAACATAGCTATGGAAATCTCCCCATTTATAACTAGTTACTAGGTGTGATTTACCAATTTTTTAGTGGTGATTTTCCATAGACTGTTGGTTTACCAGAGGGTAACCATTGAAAAAACCTCCGTTTTCCCATGGAAATTTCCGGCCTGGCGGGTTTGCGCAAAGGTGAACTCCAAACCCAACTCTTCACAGGGACCGATGCAGGGAGTGCTGCGCCTCGGCGAAAGACGTCCGGCGCTGCTGACACGTTGCAGAACAAATGGGACCTTTATGGATGTTTGAGGTATCTATTGACAGTCAGGGAGTCATCACTTTCCCTTTCAAAAACCATTTGTCATGTCAGGGGTACCCTCTGGTAAACATACAAAAAACTATGGAAAGATCCACCATTTTTCATGGGAAAAGTCTCTATTATAAATGGCCATTTTAACAATAGCTATTTTGACACCAGAGGCTATGGTGAAAGATGTATTGAATCGGGATACATTGGGACGACGGCCCTGGGCTGGCGCACTCGTCCACTTTACACGAGGCCATCAAGCCTTTGAGGCGAAAATCCAGGCGCCAGGCCTCCGGAAATCAAGGGTGGAAGTGGTGGCACCGTGGGCACCGAAGAAAAATCACTGTTCTTCACTTGAGAAGTCAAGATGGGTGTGTCTGAAAATGGGGTATACCCACCAAATACATCCAAACGCAATTCTAATGAGGAAAATTGCGAATAAAGTCGTGAACTGTGGCTGTTTTCAAACCCAAATGATCCTGGGGAATGATCCCCCAACCATGCTATTGCCATCGGCAGCTGTTCCACCTGCTGGCTTCCTGCCAGTGGTGCCCATCCAGGCCCATCCACCATCTTCCAGACTATGCTCCTTTTCCCAAAACGTCGATTAGGTTTGCCAAATTCAAAGCCCCCCGAAACAACTCGCCTGGCTATCATTCAAAATCTCGTTGAGGTTGACTCCGTCGCAAATCTCGAAACCACTTCCCGTCAGACTGATCTGGCCGCTGTCCTTGAGAAAAGCTCACAGTGGCGCACAGGCGTCACACCGGTTTTTTGTCAATATTTGGCAAATTTTGCCAAAAAATTGACACCATGACAGTTCATGAAAAGCCCTTGGATCTACTTAGCAGCTAGGGTTGAGCATCCCATGGTCACAACTTGTGGCCATGGCATGCCATGGCCAGCCTCTTCGAGGAGTAGCTGAAAGCCCCAGTCCCCGTCCCTCAGCGAAGGGTCACCTGGCAGATCCCCACCTGGGAGTCACCACCCAATCTTTGGAATTAATTATATAATACTTAAGCACTAACAAATAAGACATTTTTGCGGTCAGAATATCCCGACACCCGTATGGCTCAACAAGAGATCCGCAACCATAGCAGAAGATTCCTGCCATATGCATGCAATTCTAATTTTGTCTGCTCGAAGGCTTGCAATGTGGGTGAACAAATCCCATTAAAATCAATTACCCTATGGTTATTTAGCCATGGAAAATGGCCCATCTATAGATGGTTTACCTATTAAAAATGGTGATTTTCCATGGCTATATACAGTAGTCAAGACTCTTCGATAGCCCCAGCCAGTGCATGATTGAAAATGGGCCGGAGATGTGACCCCCAAGTGAACCACAGACCAAATTCTGAAGTGTTCAAGGCCCAGGGGCCCAGGTTCAAGCCATGCCGTAGGAATAAAAATGATCATGCTTCATCAGGTTCATCCATCAACATAGGGAGAAACTGGATGACAACCCCTTGAACAAAATGAGCTGTTGCTGAGGAATTGTCAACGGCCACAGCCTCCAAGCTTGAATTCCACATCTGGCAAGGAACCACTTTGATCAAGCACAGCCTCAGCCCGGAGCGAAACCAGGGATCGGAGAGCCTCTCTGTCAATCCGCCAGAAGTCAAGCTTCAAATGGTGGATTTGTTCATGAATTGTGGTTTCCAAGGTGGACGCCTTTTATTGTCACATCTCATCATTGGATCCCATGGCCCTCCATGGCTCTTCCATGCCAAAAAAATGATTAAAAAGCCATCCTCATAATATCATAGTGGCGATTTTTTGGGCACCCAGGCCGTTCCCAATAAACGTCGCGCCAAATCCAAGATCTCCTCTTCATGTGCTTTCAGCGCAGCTGCCTGATCAATTCGGATGGATTTTCCACGGGAAATTGGATGAAAATTGAAGCCCAAGGTTTTTGCCAATTTTCTACCCTCATGTTGGAAGGAGTTTCCTGCGAAGTGGCCCTTCATCCCCTTGTGGCAAAGGTATCCAAAGTCAGGATGCGCCAATGATTCAATTTGGAGATCCAAAGGGTTGAATGGAAACACCAGTTTCCGAGATCCAACTTGCTCGGCACCTTGAAACTTTGGGCAGCTTCTCTGCTTTGGAGCTCCGGTGCATGCGAGCGCAAGACATTCTCCCAATCCTCCGCGGGCACAGGTCGGTAGACAGCAGGGGTAGCCCACATGGTTCGGTTCACCGAAAACACAAGCACCTTGCTGGTGATTGACTTCTGAAGGCACGGTTGACTTCATTCACTCCCAAAATATGAATCATTAATCTTTACGGACCATAATCTCATTTCTCTTTAAAAGTGAGACATGCTAGAAAGCAACTGGCGTCAAAATCGGCGTCCTGGAAGGCTCGCATCCTTCCCCGCACCACCAAGAGTCGTGCCTGCACCCAACTGTCGCTCCAAGAGGAGCCCGATTTCTCAAACAAAAGTTAATGGGAATGTGAATGGGAATGTTGTAACTATAGTGGGAAACACACTGATGTTCAATTGGATCATAAGGGGAATAGTGGAATATATCTACAGGGTGTTGCCCCCAGTTCTGGTTCTTGCTTTAGTTTCACGTCCTTCAGTAGAACACATCTCTGGTCTCTTGGATGGTCTAGCTTTACCCCAAAGCTGTTCTGAAATACCACATTTTGCAAAAAAGCTAATACTATTATGTATATCCCATAACTACTTATGGTTATGTCAGTTATTTCCATGATAATACCACATTTTGAATAACCAATGCTGGGTTTACCATCTGGTTATGACTAACATAGCCGTGGAAAATCACCATTTTTTATAGGTAAACCATCTATTTCTATGGGCCATCTATACCATGGCTAAATAACCAGAGGGTATCCCAAAAAAATGGTGATCCCTGGTGATCCCACAGATCAGCTCTTGGCGCCTCCACCGCAATGGTACAGGAGGATCCTCGCCAGCGCAAAAAGACGGCCACATCTTCCAGGTAGGCCGAAGACACCTGGGCCGGACAGGCCATGGCTATTGAAAATGGCCATAGAAATAGTGGATTTTCCCATGAAAAATGGTGATTTTCCATAGCTATGTTAAATTACCAGAGGGTACCCAAAACTCCAATCATACAGGAAAATGCGTGCAAGAAAATGATGATCAACCGGGGGATCTGGCGGTAATCTACTGGTTTATCATCATGTATCTATTTATCATATCATTTTTATAATTAATCAATTTAAAGTGGCCATAAGTCGATACCTCATTTTCAGACCTAAATCTCAAAGACGACCCGAATTGGTGTTGTTTCTGGACCTTACATTCTGAACCAAAGGCGGAAGTGACATCAGACTGGATACACAGATGAGGAGTTGGAGGGGGCTGCCAGTGGCACCACAGGGTGACAATTTAATAGTTATAAGTATTGTCAAGTACTGTGGGTAAAACAATAATAAACCATCCCCCAAATCACCATAAATAGGTGGTATAAACTGGTGATAGGAAAGTTGTTATCGCATTGCACCGAGCACCCAACCTCAAAGGGTAAGAGCACGTCCAAATTCTCGAAGAGTCTCTCCTTCAATGGCCGATGGCCATCAAGTGAGCATTCTCCAGCACGTTCCATCGCCACAACAGGTGACAACCCCCGAAAGGGCCTAGTTTACCCTGCAAAATCCCCAAAATCCTATGGCCATTTGGCAGTGTGTCAAAACCAATAGTACCCCTTTTTAGTTCACATCATAAAATAGCTGGGTTAAAATGGATGTTCATCCCACTATAGTAATGGTATCTATAGCTATCAATACCCATAGCCATTGACCCATCAACACCTGGGATGTTTTGCAGCTCCCAGCTCCGCCCGCCTGAAGGTCCAGCCTCGGTAGCTCCACTGAGCAACTGGAGAGTGAAAACTGGAGCAGTTCCTCAGGGACTTCCTGCGTCGCGTTCTTTCGGGTCTGGGTCCAGGGTCCAGGGTCCAGGAGGGTTTTTTGGGAATGAAACGATTGGTGTTTTAGCGGGTGAAAAACGAATACCTGTGGGATTTAAAAAAAATGGGGGTTGATTTGAGGCTTTCTTGATCAACACCTGGGAGGATTTCATCAACATATGGATCGACGTCTTGAAGGAAACAAGTGGCGTGGTTTGAAACATGAGGCAGAACACCATTGTATAGTATTTTTTCAGGACAATCCCTATTTTTGGACTTGCTATGGACTAATTACATGTGCTCGGAAAAAAATACGGAAACTTGTTTTTGGATGTCATAGGTGATATCTACCTCACAATTCCCAACTGATTAACTGATTCTATCTCTTTGGGCCAAGCAGCGATCGAACCGATGCAGGAGGGGCTGATGGAATCCCATCTGTAGCTTCGAAACACCTAGAAACACCTATATGGGAATGGGTCAAAACCCTTGTACCCCTGGTGAACCCCAAAATAGCTGGGATTTATGGATGTTCATCCCACTAAAAATGGTATTAATATGTATTAATAGGTATTGATCCACAGCCATATAATGCAGAGATCCAAAAGAAACCTATGGTTTCTGGCTTTGTAGCTATACAGGCTCTCAACCCCCGTGCGGGAAACGTTGCTTGAGTCGCTCGCTCTCGGGTTGTTCTTGGTCGTTAAACATCTTTGGGGATAGTGGTGTGAGCTAAGCTCAGACTGGTGGGCCCCTGATAGAAATGGGGGCTTAAAAAGAGGCATGCTCAATCACTAATGACTACCCTAGTCTTCTTAGGTTTGTTGGGATTGGTTCGCAGTGCTCGATTGATATAGAAATGCGCGGACAACTGTTTGGTGCTCCCATCAGAACCCCAGCAATCGGGCGGCGTTAACAGAATGCTATTCAATGGGTACCATCCTAGCTTGCGGTGACGCAAGCACCACTTCAGCTTGCGTAAGAGGTCAGTCAAAAGAATTTCAAGATCACAGCCATACTGGCACTTCCAGTTAACTGGATGGTTGGTTGACAGTTGTTTGGCACTGTGACATACTGTGACCCTGGGAAATATGAATGGATCAACCACACATCTCCGCACCCCAAGGATCCCCAAGGGCCTTGACGAACTTCTGGCCATGTTTGTGGATCAAATGTGAGGCCCACTTCCTGCCAGAGAGTAACATCTGTCAAATCGGGATGGCATGGGAATACACAACACATCGGGATGATCGGGATATAACATAAAAATACATCAAATAAAACATGATATACATAATATATTAATATACTTTATATATAGTACATTGATGTACTAATACTATAACTATAACTAACCATCCAATGGATACAGGATGCTTTGGCTCAATGGAACTGTGCTTCTTGTCCCGCTCATGCACAGCTGGGGTGCTACCACCAGGGTCAAAACATGGCCATGTCCGATCGGCAAAATCCATGTCCAAAAATGTTGCAAAGCCATTTTCAATATATTCTGTGGTTTACATTGGCGCATATATTGGATTATATTGGTGTATAAAGGATGTTCTAGGCAACTTCCCAGGGTAGGACATGCCACCCGCCATTCCGCCATTCCGCCATTCCGCCATTTCCGCCAGTCCCAGTTCTACGTCCTCACCAAGGCGAACATCAGAAAGCATCAGCCGCCTGCGGCGTCATTTTTGCGATGGGGGGCTGTTGAAATATGTTCAAATGTTGAAGAAATCCATGAATTCACAAGTCTCAACTGGTTGATGTCGCAACGTTGGTGCAAAACTTTGGAGCCACTGGAAACTAAAGGCGTTGGGCCAAGTGCCTCTTGTCCGAAATTACTGCCGTTTCAAGATGAATATTTTGGAAGATACCTTTCTAAACAATGGCATGAACTGGGCAATATGCCATCACGAAACCTGGCAGTGGCTACAATGATTTTGCCGCTCGGGTCCAAAGGCGGTTCCGCCTCCTTCATTGCCACAGCGGGTAAAGCAAGTGGACGAATCGAGTCGAATGAAATCATCCAAGTTTGGTAGGCCCAGCCATCTGACATGTATCTTTCGGATTAAATGTCTAAAAGTGCAATTGCGTTGCAGCGTCGCTATGTTTTCACCTTGATTCCTCGACACCTCAAAGCAACGTCACTTGTTCCGACATGCCCCTGTTGGCCATGAGTCTTGCCATTCACGTCCCTTGAGCCATGCAAATACATGCAAATACGTCAAGAAAAAATATACTGTATAAGCGGTTGCGCTGCTTGCAGGTGCGAGAAACTTCATCCGTTGATGTTTTCTTGGGTAGAAATGGAGATAAATGGGACCAGCAAAGTCCTCGGAGCGCTACAAGCCATAGATAGCCATGGATAAGGGGATTTTGAGCCGCAAACATGCTATAGCAACCAAGATGCAAATCCAAATGATGGTTTTTTTCTATCTTTCTGGGGTTACTATATTATATATAATGTATGGTTGGTTGATGTGGGGACTTGTGAACCAATAGATTGGTTTGTCTTAGTATACTCCAAATTCTCATGGTATCATCAGTTCTACATTGGTTCATGGCTATAAGTTGAGAGATTCCCCCAGTGTGTACAAACCCTCAAGAAATACACAATAAGCATCAAGAAACAATGACCTACAAAATATTGTGGTACAAAAAGGCTGTATACCATATATCATATGATATAGTCTTTGTGATATTCTGATTTACCCGAAATTGAACGACCCAAACACAGGATCACATGAACTTTGGGAAATCGATTCCAATGGTCGTTGATTTTGCGACATCGCTTGCCCTTTACATTTCTCTTTCCTGCTGGAGACACAACCGTTTTGCCTTGAACCATTGAAAACTGGCTACCAGATGCTACCAGTTCCCAGAACATCAAGAAACCATGCCATCGGCTTCACCGCAAACACCACCTTCGCACTGGCTGGACGGAGACATAAAGGGCACACTGGCTCTTGTCAAGACCAGGCTGTGATTCGGTTTTCAAATCCCAGCTCTGAATCTTATGGCTGGTGATTCATTTGACATGTGAGAGTGACATGATCAAGAGAATGTCATTAGTGAAAATATGCAAGTAGGAACAGCAGTGATTCATGGCCTTGTGATTGGGGCTATCCAAGCACTTCAACTCAACTTGCATTGTAAGCAAAGGGAACTTGCTCCCCACATGTCATTTTACAGCTGGTACATTGGTACATGCACAGGCTGCGTGCTTCCAAAGGCGTCATCCGAAGTGGCACCTCTGGAGCTTCACAGCCGGATGGTCAGCTTCGTGGCGACCAGCATCACGACCGTCTAAGCGACCCAGACATCACTCACTCAGAGAGCACCATGGGGATGACTTCCTCAGGGCAAAGCAGGAAACGCCAAGTTTTCAGGAAACGCTAAGTTTTCAAGGAGAATACTTAAGACATCTTAAGACCAAGGGTAGGTAACGAAAGCCACCTAGGAAGGGTGAAACATGGTGAAACAGGAGATATCTTGGATGAAAACAGCTGGTAAGGAGGCATGAGAGCTTCGAATATGTTTGTGTTTGTATATACCCATAGTGTGAGTTGAAGCAGTCTTCACACCAATCGTAAAGCCGACTTATGTCTGCAATGTAAAAATGACAAAGATCACTCTGCAGCCCATGCATTGGTACTAAAGCTGGCATGGAAGTGTGAAGCGGGAGATGGTTGGGATATTGGGATGAAAGAATGAGGTATGGCAGGTATGGCGAGCTTGAAATTACACTGTTGTTTGTCTACCTTGCATGATGTGCGTTGAAGTTGTCTCGGCGGCCACCATGAAATGGGCAAAAACTGTGTCCAGGAAAACTGGTCCGTGAGCCTAGAACCTCGCTGCTGTTCTTGAAAAGTTGGAACGCGCCGGGATGAAGAGTCTGTGACTGACATCATTAAACGCATGGATGCAAAGCCGATTTATGTTTGCAACGTAAAGGTTACAAAGATCACTCTGCAACGCAGGATTGTTAGGAAGTGGTGCAGCGAAGATTGTTTGAGGTTGCTTGTTTCATTCAATGTTTGAACTGTAAGGAATTGCACAACTGACCCTTGATGAGATGCTATGAGGTACAAGATCCAATCCGACCCATGACCGTCCGATCCCAAAACTCGCCCCGGACTCCGGAACCTTTGTTGTTTTATTGTTCTGGGAGTCAAAATATGCTGTGTTGCACTCTTCATTTTTTTGGCACCAGAAGAAACAAATGAGATTGCACTGATTGCACCACCAAAAGTTATATAAAAAGAAATTGTTTGATGACATCTGCAACGGCCTGTCCGGGGTAGCTGCGTAGCTTCACGGAGCCACTGGTTTTCTGAGTGCCTGAAGCACTGGGCCGAGCAAGGCAGAAAAATCTGACCATACGCAACATGCGATCAAAAGAAACATGTAGTTACTAAAACTGCTCCATGGTTCCCTTGAACAGCAGAACATTGTCAAAATTGGAGCAGTCAGCACAAATCCGTGGTCATTTTTCACTGTTGGTTGAATCTGTGCCATATGAAACTAATCCGGCCAGTGCAGGCACAGCGCCAGTTGATGGTGTCAGCGTTGACACAAACTGCCACATGTTTTGTATTGTAAGAAGGCCACACGAAGGTTTGCCCATCCCACTCCAGTCTGTAGTTTCGGCAATCTGTCCCATTGTTTCTGACAACTTCCAGGCCAACGCCCTGCTTCTCTTCGACCATGTAGACCGAACCTCTGTGGTCAATCCAAAAGCCTTCAAGGCCCTTCAGCGCCCAGCTCCTTAAAATGGTGCCTCTCGGCACTGATGGCGCCGCTTTCAGCACCACGGCTGGCCGCGCCACTGACTGCGCCTGTGGATGTTCTGGCTGGACGGCTCTCAAGGTTGGGCGGCCACCATCATGACTGGTGAAGGCTTCCACACAGCGGGCAAAAAGGACTGCGGGAACAGGTGCATGTCAGACAGGCTGACCAGCAAAGTGCTGGCTTTGACGCACTGGGCCCCTTCCTTTGGAAGTTGATCGGCAAAAGCCTTCAGAGCAAACAATCGCCGATTTCCACTAACAATGAAGACCTTCCCGTGGGGGTCTTGCACACCTACCAGGGCCGGAATGTCCTCCACCTGAGTCTCACCACTCAGCAGCTTGTTCGTCAAAGTTTGCACCGACTCGCCTTTGCACCTTCCATTCCGGAAAGTCATTGAGATGGATGCATGTGCAAAATGCAACTGCTCAACATCAATTCTTTGGATGCAGTGAGCCCAGGCGCAGTGGTCAAGGGGAAAATCAAAGCAAAATTCCAACTCCATCAACTTGGGCAAATTCGAATCATCCAGGTTCGGTGGGTTGAGTCTGGTAGCAGAAGCTTTAACTACCAAGGGAAAATGCACTGCAGCTGCTCACTTCTGATTGACATAGCTCACAACTGCATAGTTTTTGCGCATGCTGGTGGTCCCCTGTTCTGCAATTTCATGAGGATTGGCATCAGAATCTTTCAGATCAAATGGAATGGCCAGCAGCCCAAGGCAGCAAGCCAGCCATGGCCTTTTGCGATGCACAGACTGCATGAGGTTGCAAAGCAAAGACTTGACCTGTTGATGATGCTTGCGGTTGGTGAATGTTAAACCCGAATGAATCAACATATGCAAGAGAATCCGTGCACGAAAGGGCATCAAAGAGCATTATTCAAATCCGAAAGTTGCAACAAGATGTTTGCCCCAAGGCCAGACTCTTGCATCCTCAGAGACCGGCGTTTCCCAAGGTCCTATCACCGAGCTACAAGCTGGTACCTGCCACGAACTAAAAGCAACGTCCCCGCCTTCAGGTTGGATGGACCAATCAGCCTAGTTCCTAGAGGTTGCGACCTGAGCTGTTGATGGTGGTTTTGTGAATTCGAATAGTTGAAAAGTGGTCAGCGAATGGCTGAAGTGATGGTCGGTCATATTTGTTTGGTTCAAATGTCCAATTGCCTCCAGGAAGGCAAACTCACGCACTCTTTCTGCCTCTCTCTGGTTCTCTTTTCAGGCATAGCTACCAATCCGTAGCAGTACCAGCTGACGGTCGACCCCTAAAACCCGTTTTATCCCTCCAACCTCTGGAACAGCCAGTCGAATTGTCACACAGGACCTCATCGTTTCAATCTCTACATGCAACAAAAAAAGGAATGAAAAAGAACGTTTCCAGTAGATGATTCAAAACCGTGGCGACCACAGAGTTCGAAGCTCTGTTTGATGCTAGAAATGAGCCTGAACGCCTCTTTCACCTTCAAAATCTCTCTGCCTCTCATGAATCTACACTGACTAGTGGTCAAATCTTGAATGATGGTAACCGAACGGATGTGGCTTCGCCCCTGGAGTTTCAATGAAATCCAAGATCTTGCCATGCAATGTTTCTACCTCACCGCAATTGTTTCAACTAAAATCGTTCCTTCTGACAATGAAGCGGAGTCAAGGCGAGAGCGTCCATCTTCTGACAAGAAAACGTAGTCATCTTCAATTCCCACAGGAACTCGACATGGTGAAGCATCAGGCCGCTCGTTTTCCAAGACTTCCAAACGATGTGGGATCACCATCTTTTTCTCCTGTTTCTGCCACCATCTTAGTTGCCTTCTGTCGCTTGGGGAGGCGGGTCAAACTGAATGACGCAAGCGCCGGGTGCTCCAGTAAAAGCCCCCGGAATACCACCCCCGTTATGGGAACCACCAGGGCCTCCGCCGCCAATCTGCGGCACGAATCTCTGTTGTCGCGTCTGGCCATAGCAGTTTTTGGTATCAATGACCGGGAATTTCCTCTGAATCATTTCCAAGATCTCTTTTGGCCAGGAAGCGGCCCCTCCATTCGGAGTGTTCTCCCATGAATTAGTCATCATGGGGGACGCTTTTTCCCCAGGATTGCCTTTTTTTACAACTGCGCTGGTCAGCTGCATAAAGTCACTAGTTTTTGCAAATCCCTCACCCACAATATCTTGAAGCCCTCCACCACCAGCTTCCAGCAACACATCCCTCCGCACATTCGCAATGTCTCTCTGCCCCGTCTCCGATTCATAAATTTTTGTAGAAGAAGCTGGCTTCAGGTTTGTGTCTTTCGGGTTAAGATGTGCGCCCAATTCCACACACAGTTTCTTAGCTCCTGCAGTGACAGAAAAGGTTGCATCCACCACTGCGCCAGATGCGCCACCTGCCCCATTCTTCTGGTCCGCCACTCCCTTCGCACCACGCCCTCCGGGACCACAAGCAGTGATGCGAATTGTTCGCACACCATCAGGAATGGTTGCTTCATACCATGGGAGCCTCTCCATGGCGCTTTCAGAATATTCAGAATAGGGTAAAGCAAAAACCAGGACACCACGGTCTTTTGCCAGAACGTTTTGGTATGCTTCTAAATAGCGCAAAGGAAAGTTGCCAAGCCCTCCATAGACCTTCACAGAAGCAGTATCAGCTGGAGTCTTCAATGAAATGAAAGGATGTGCAACGCCACCAAGGTCAACACCGAGATCTTCTGAAAGTATGGGAGCCCCGGCCTTCGACAGCCACCCAACGGCCAACCAAGAATCTTGCTGAATGAGAAAAATGACCTGGGGCAAGTCTGGGTGTTGCTCTGGCTTCTCTTTCAAAGGCTTGGATTGACCACGAGAATGTAAATGCCACTCCTTCCACGTCAGGGTGGCTGCTGATTTGGAGGAAACCAGGGTGCCGGAGGGCACATTCACAGGTGAGGTGAATCCAAACTCCAAGTCGTCTTTAATGCTATGTATGGTGACCTCCACAAGGAGAGGCTCGGCATCTTTGGCCACTAAAGGTGAAACCAGAGGGATGAAACCGTCCTGCCCACTTTGCACACGTTGCACTTTGGATACCCCTGTGGAGTCCAAGACCTCGTAGCCCAACTGTGAATACAAGGGCGGGTTGAAAGGAGCTTCTGGCAGCCCGAATATCATTCCATGACCCAAGCGACGAAGAATGAAAGGATGCGCTGTGCTCAGCACACAAAGACAGAACGTATTGCCACTGGGCTGGACACGCTGCGCTAGAGAACGGCTAAAAGAAATGATATTTTGCAAGGCATGTTCTCTTGCAACGTGGAAAGACTGAGCAGTGGTCTCTTGCATTCCGCCTTCAGCCTTCTGCCTGGATGAACCCCGCTGGGTCTGCTGGTCCACCATGATTCCAGCCAAATCATCCACGTCCACAATCACTACAGTGCCCCGGTCACGTGCGTTCTCGCTGCACTCGACAACCAGGTCAAATGGGGATTTGTCATGTTGCAGGAACTCTTTGCGCCGACTGTCAACTACTGTTGCAGTGTTTGCCCTTGAGATCTTCTGCAACAGCAGGGCCAAGTGGTAAACAGCTGCTGGTCCCTTGATGGGCTCCTTTAGCGCCAACTCCCGTACTGCTTGTTTCTGTCCTTCTACCCACACATGCTCACGATGGTGAAGCATGCGGCCGCTCAACCTCCCGTTTTCGCACGATTCCAGCAGGTACTGCTCACTTTTCTGATCTGCAAACATGGCTCCTGCATCACCAGACGAAAACGAGAAGAGGTCAGGGTCGTTGGATGATCCGATCAAATTGTGCAGCGCCCCTTTCCTTGGTTGGATTGGAACGAAAAGAAGTCACTTGAACTACCAAATTTCCAATATAGACCTAGCTGTTAAACAGCACATGGAAATGCTGCACCCTAGAAAGGTATCCTTCAATGACCCCTGCAATGGCGCCCGTCAGAAATCTCTATAACTGCCACATCTCACACCCTGCAACGGGCAAATCCGCTGTTCTCAACACCCTTCTTTGTTTGAAGAAAGAATACAAAGAGCTACCACGATCTTGAGAACAAAAGGACTATACCAGCATAGACCCAAGATAGCAGAATCTTGAAAAGCGGCAAAAGAAGGAAACAAACGTGAAGATGCAAATCCAAGTGTGTGCAACATGGCAACTTGAGGTTTCTTTGCCCGGTCTGCTTTTTTGGCATTTTTCTTAGCTTGGGCTGTCCCTTGCCTTTCCTTTCCCCTTTGCTTCTCTTCGCAAATTTCACGATACGCCACATTGGCATACCTTCAGCGGCACCTGGCAACAACATCTAGCACTGACTTCACAATGGCACCTTCCACTGGCACAACCCTTCACAGCACCCTGACACACTACAAGCACCCAGCATGGCACCCAGCAATGGCACAGCACTGCAGAGTTACTCATCACGCAGCATGTTTCTGTGTCACCTTGCAGTGGCACCCAGCAATGGCCGGCGGCATCATTCGGTGGCACCCTGGACCCTTGGACCCAGCAATGGCACTCAACAATGGCATCCAGCAATGCCACTCAAAAAAATTGAAGCAAGAACCCCTATAGGCTATAGCTCTCGCCAATGGGGAACAAACGAATATGAAAAATCTTTAAGCAAATGTGAGTCTCAGGTGATTAATGATGTCGCTTGCCGTGAGTTGCCTCACAATCAACCCTTGCTCCTGATAACCCCGCAACACATTCTCTGCAAGGCCACGCACCTGTGCCCCGGAAAGGTTCGTCAGCAGCACCTGCTTGCAGGGTTATTCATCTTCCCTCTGTGCAAAAATGTTTTTCCACTGATGACATGGTTCCCTCAACTCTTTCATTTGACACCTTGCAGATCATATTTGGCCAAGAGCTGCTGCCTGATTCTCCCTGAGCTCATGGTCAAGCTCTTCTTTTATCAAAGCTGCAAAGCCCAACTTGGTGAACGTTGAATGAATAAGATCTGTAGCTTTTTCTGCATTGAGCTTTCCACAAAAGATCTCCACAGACACGCGTCCAACACGTGTGAAGGCTGGGTCCAAAGCAGCGCGCCGATTCGTGGTGCACAAGAGTAGCACGTTCTTGGTCTTGTCAATTTCGCCTGAGTATTTTCGAACCCAAAATGGCGGGCATGAACATTTCGTGAGTGTGAACAAACATGCTGACTGAAGATGTCTCAATTCAATCAAATCAGTGGCTGAATAAATGCGTCAGCCATTTTGCGTGGTGTGCATCTGGCCCACTGCTACGTGTCTCTGCAAGAGCTTCGATCTCCTCAATGATCATGACATGTGGTACATCTGGGTGCTCATGAGCGCCTTTGAAGATGGTCGTCAGCATCTCCTCATAAAACTGTGCAATCCAAACACTTCACAATGAAGAAAAAAGTGAACAAAAACTCGAAACAACACTTCTTCGTACGTGTATCAACAACTTGTGGCTCCCTAACCACTTCAAATGGTTGCTGGCAATGAATGTCTTCAAGGCTGGCAGCGGCTGGCAGTCCTCTGTGTCTCCGAGGTAGCGGCTTGCAAATGAGGCAGCTGATCGGATCTCCATAGGACGCAGGCCAGCATGCTCATAGATGCAGCGTGCCAGTGTTGATTTAGCCGTGCCTCATCAGGTCAGGTCCAAATCTTGAATGCCCTCATACACTATCCGTCAATCAATAGTCTTGTGGTAACGGTAACGGCTATTCATGAGAGTGTCATCTGTGGATTTCCTCTCTCCATTACAAGAAATTTAGATAAATTTAGACTGTTACAGCAAAACATCTTAAACATCTTTAGCAATACACCAGCTTCACGACAATTCTGTGGACAACGAAAGATCATGGTGCGAGCCATGCCTGGTGGGCCATGGAAAAGTGCTCCACGCTGCACCGTATGACCAGGATCAGTTCGAGGTGTACAGAAGGGGAGAAGGACATTGGCCTCAGCGTCGTTTCTGCCTTGTCCTTGGAGCTCAGACACTCTTAATGTCACGACTCAATGACATGGCAAGCCTGCCTATCAAATGAAGGCAGAGAAGTCGAAGATGTAAAGAAACCTAATTACAATAGATGAGCTGGAACTTAAGGTAATATCCAGTCTTGTTGTCATGCGATGCTGCTCTTTGATGTATATGTCCGAGGTTGGTAGCACTTCTCAAAGAAGCAACATGAGTTCCCCAAACAAGCGTATCCAACGCAGTGGCTGTAACATGCACCTCAGAGTCATGTACGGAGTCATGATTCACAAATCCAGCATCATTGGTAGAATACTTACTTTGATACTGACCGGAGAAGTGAGTAGTTAGAAGATGTTAGAACTACCTGTCAAAAGGCTAACCTGCAAAAAATGCAAAGCTAGCTAAAGGGTCATTTAATATTTTTACCCCACGATCATCCAAGAGGTGGTTCTGGAGAGCGTTGTTCACAATTTGGCGCTGCAGCATTGGCAAATTCCCTGTGCTGCCCAACACTTCAAGGACGAGACGGTATGTCACTGCGCTCAATGGTTCTTGCTCGTCTGTTCTACTTGCCTCTTCGAATGCCACTTCTGCAAAAGCAAGCTGTTCAGGAATCAGTTCGTTGGCGCAAGTAAGCCGGACTCCACCGGGATTTTCATCACTCGCGGATTCAATGTGGATTTCATTCAATGTGACTGTGTAGCGAAACTCCTTCACCGGGTACTGCAGCAGGCGAGCAACATTGCGGGCACACTCACCGGTATGAGTAGGTTCAGTCAGGCCGCTTGCCTGCACCAACGGCCAAAAACGGTTTGCCAGTGTTCCTGTGCCAGTCATCCTTACATGGAGTGCTCCGGGTGCTCTGCCTCTGGCTGTGGATAAGTTTGTTGGACGAGGACACATGAATGATACAAAATGATCCACGGCCCTACCATGGTGCTCCAGTGCAGGATGATGCACAATCTCAACAAAGACTATCCCCATTGGTCGAGCCCACATGGACCATTGCACGGGCTCTAGGTAGTCGCCGGTCCGACCTGCAAAGTTCCCTGCGGGCTCGGGTCCCTGCATGACGAAGCGAATCGGGTTGTCCTCTGGGAAGGTCAACGCTATGCACTGAATCACATCGTCATCCTTGGACGCTCGAAATGAAGCGAACATGTTTCCCAAAAGCGCCTGCAGCTCGTTTCTCATATAATTACACATGTTG